GACGTTACAGGTTGGAGGACGGCATGGGAGAGTGATCGCGCTCCTGTTTGCCGAGACGTTGAAAGCACCGCGGAGACAGCTGTCACGAATTCGGTTGCACACAACGCTGACCTGATCGTCAAATAGTTTTTTTTTCATTGCTCGTGGTGTTGAGGGAGATCTCCTCAATTTACATTTGACAGGCACTCTCGGACCGCAACCAAAAATAGGCGCGGCTTTCCCCGAGTCCTACCCTAATTGTTATTTACATTTTTGCTCTACTCGCTCTGCTTTAGACGTTCCCTACTTTGTATGAAAATATTCCTGACGTGCCTTTAAAATATTACACACCCTTTGCCCTGTTTATTATAATCTCACTCCACGTGTGTGTAGTCTGGTTATTGTGAAATGATTAACACCTGGGAAAATAAAGAGGGACATTAGCATGTATTACCACTCAATTTCCATTAAGAGTATTTTGTCTGGTACTTCAAACTGAGGACAGCTGTGTTTATTGTGTCCTTTTATTGCATTCTTTCTCGTAAGTAATTTCCCTTAATCTTTATTCGTGAAAGATGCCGGCTGCAATGAGCCAAAACTAAAATAAACAGCTCAGCATTAAATCAACAAATCGTACGGGTTTTAAAATGGCAGTTACACATTTAATGACCCTGAGCAAAAGGCAAACTCCTTAAAAGTCAACAGCTGTGACTCGTACTTTGCAAAGGTCTTATTTCCCCGAGAAATGTTGTGTTTAGTTTGTTGTCCTTCCCCCGCACCTCCGATTAGCACTGTTGGCGACGTACGGTGCGAAAGAAGTTCAACATACCAAAATAACCCTCAGTTTTTCAAACAAATTAAAACACTTTCTTTTCAACTTCAAATCTAGCAAACAGGTCATTTGTAAAACTCGAAAGCATCCTCGACTGGGCCTCCAGATGACCCTACCACAAACAACCACCCGCAGAATTTGGGTAGGAACATTCAACGAAACATTAAAAGGACACGCCGAGACAAATGCCCAACGCGGCAGATTAAAATGAGCGTGCGTGCGGCACATTGAGCCCAAACGTTAGCTGTTGGGTGGTTGGGGAGGTGGTGGTGGTGGCTTTTTACCTTGGTGGTGGTGGTGGCGACAAGTTGGCTTTGTTGGAGACGAGGAGCGGCGGTGGTTCAGGGGGGGGGGGAGGGTGGTGGAGGGTGGTGGTGGTGGTTCAGATGCCATGCGGCGAGGCGGCGCGCACTTCGCCGTTGAGCCCTGCCTAAGCTTGCGGTTGGCCGCCGCGCGTCGGTGTGGTTACTTGACGTCGAGCAAGTTTCGGACGGTTTCCATGATTAATGAAGGCAAGTAACCACCCGAAACCTGCTCGACGAGTCGAGCAACAACGGCGGCCCTTGCCTGGGATGACGACATACGGAGGAATAAAAAAAAATAACACCCCCCCCCACCTCTTCTCGCTCGACGATGTCCCCAGATGTTTGGTGGCTTCGGTTGGGGAAATTGAAGCTTTTCTCGCACTTGATCGATCTTTATTCGTAGCGGGCACGGTCGATTCAGTGCGTCCATTCCTTGCAGCGACGCGGTTCACGTCACCAGCTCCCGTCGCCGGCCCAGCTAAGCACCTCGTCGTGCCGCGCGTCTTTAGAGGCGTTGGGAGGTTTGGCAGAGCCACGGTTTGTGGTTATGGATGTTGGAACTTCTTTCGCGTGTGCACGTGAAGGCAAGGGGACCCCCGTATCCACGCAGTAGTAATAAATCAAAGTACAACTTCCTAGATTCGTATATATATGTGTTTCTATTATTTCACAGATTCCTTCGTTGACATCATCAGCCTTGATCTATTAACCGCTGGATGAAGGCCTCTCCAAAGCCCTTGCAACCTCTCACGGTCCTGCGATGCAACGTCCCATCATCTTGGACACGAGATGACTTCATCGTTTCTATCTCCGCAGGGGGGGGAGGAGGTCATCTCATGCGTGTCCACTACTTTTGCCGCCACTCAGCCGTCAGTCTCGACCACCGGACATCAACCCCTTCTCGCAACGTGTTCCGCCCAAGATCGCTTAATGTTGGTAACGGTCAATATACGATGACTCTGTGACATATTGGCTCAACTGAGATTTTGTTTTATGGGATTTTTTTAAAAAGACAATGCTTGAACATTTTCCTCTTGATCTATACCAAAGACGGGCAGGGGTTCGCTATGTCCCCTCACATTAGGAATTTCTGGTTCATATAATTAATGTATTGTTAATCTTAATTGTAAACTATTGAAAATAAATGTATAAAGGTGCCCAGTTTGGGAGGGCGTTGCCCCCCCCCCCCAACGGTTCCTCCCCCCAACTCTCTACTTACACAATATTTGCCTTCTCCATGTCAACAAAATACAAACAATGTTGGATTTGATGTTGCAATCATAATCTGATGTGGAATTCACGTAATCATAGTCATCTGTGTTGCTCGCCAGGTTACAACAAAAATGTGACCAGTCCGTGAATTCCACGTCAACGAAAGAGTGAACGTGGCAACGTCGGCAATTGTCCCTCGTTGGCAAAGTGGCGGTGGAGGCGACTAAAATAAATTGCACGTTGCTAGATTCCTGTCAGCAAAAGACACGTGTCGTTACTGAAATATGTTGCGTGTGCGTTCGTGCACATGCATGCACGCAAACATGCACACACACACACACACAGAAACAGATCAACCGATCTTAGCTCAGAGTGTTACGGTTTTTTTTGTCATGAGCCTGGTGTAGAAGCGTTATGGCCAAAGACAAATATCACCGCTTGGCCTGCATATGACGGTGAGACAAATGCTCATAGCGGGCACCTATTAAGCCTGGCACAGCACACACGTGAGCAATGTGATTAGCTGCACGACAGCCGCCTTTGTCTCGCCAATGGCAACAAATCACGCCAGGCATTTGTTTTATGCTTATCTGATCCACATAAAGGCTCGGGTCATATTCAAAATACAAACTAACACTGGCGTTGTGCGTAATGGATAAAAAAAAGATATTCCCACACCAATTGCTACTGTGTACATAATGTCTAGAAACCAATCGCAGGTTGTTGCCACAATTAAATTATAAGCCTATTACGCCAAACACACACACACACGTATGCAAGCCTAATGCATGGAGACGTGATATAAGAATTGCTTTAAAAAACGGTGGCTTGCCCTGGGCTGTGCGTGTGGAGTGTCGTGATAGCAGCTAAGCTCCACCCAGCCAGATCGCAAACTGGTTTTCGCCATGGACGTGACTTGTGCTTCAAAGACTGACACTTTGATAATGTGACAAAACAATTAGTTGCACGGGTGAAAGTGTTTTTTTTTAGTAAAATCCTGTCTGGTGTAGACCAAGCAGTTTAAAAGATAATGCATATATTATTAGAGCATCCATAATCTAGGTTTTTTTTTGGGTTTGATAGCATGAATAAAAACCACCGTTAAACCCGCCACCACTCGGCACAGCCATATAGTAAGGTTTGTCACGCAAACAAAACATGACAAATCATTACTAGTACAGCGCACCAGTGTGTTGGAGAGTAAACCCACAACATTTACAATTCGAGTACGACGTTTCGCCAGTAATTACAACTGGCATCATCAGGTCACAGCCAGATTTGATATTAGAGCATGTTTGTTTGTATGTTCACCCCAAGTACTGTGTGTGATTAGTGCAGACTTAATTCCTTGCAAAGGGTATCTAAATGGTGTTTGAACATCTTGACACCTGTTTTATTGCCAGAAAGGGTAAAACCTCTTCTTATTTTCATACTTTGATACTGGCAAAAAGGTCCCATGATAAAAATTTACCATGTTGTTTCAACCGATTAATACATCTAATATGTATGATTTGAACAAATGGCTACATTTCTATGCAATTATTATATCTTAAAACAAACAAAACCATTGGTGGCGTTTATGAGTCTTAAATGGAAAATTGGGGAAAGGAAAACATACACAATATAACTTTCCTAACAAGACGACGGGGGAGTGAATTTGCTATTGAAAACTGTCAATTGTGAATATACTGCATTAACAACAGTAGGCTGTTAGCACTGAACACGTCTGGCACGTTTTTAATGGACATTGCATACATCTGGGCGTCGAATAAAAGTGGTCGATACTGCTCTTAATGACTCGCAAAAATGCAATGCGTTGACGAACTGTGAAGCAGTCACTAAGCATTCATTGTGATGGGAAAAAAATAAAGTTTGTCAAGACATCTCTCAATATGTTGTAAAATATCGTTCCACTTATAGCACTTTGCAAAATACATCGTCATGCTCAAAATGTTAATATTGTTAACAGGTTAACTAATTCGCCAAAAGGAAGGCTAAGCTGTTCTTGGGGTGAGCGGGCATTTGCTCTGTCTGCGCCTCGGTTGTGGAATTCCCTCCCGCTGCTAATTAATTTATCCGATAATGTGGATTATTTTAAGTCTCGTCTAAAACACATCTTCATATGTTCATTTATTCTACTTAGCTTCTCCTTCTCTCTTCACCTTTCCTTGATTCTTACAAGCCACCTTGAGACATTAGTGGAAGGCGCCTTACAACTAAATGTAAATTTTGATTGAAAGTTTTCGTGACTGCAGGGATTCATATTCTTGGTTCTTTCGGTAAAGTCACGTAGAAGGGAAACAATAAAATAATAAAAATATAAAACAATAAAATTATCGCGACGTTTCGACTGCAACACAAGCAATCATCATCAGGTGTGAAAACCACAGCAACAACATTTTCTTGCTGTGGTTTTCACACCTGATGATGATTATTTTATTGTTTCCCTTCTACGCGACTTTACCGAAAGAACCAAGAATATAAATGTAAATTATTAGAAAGCACTGAACCATAATTTAATTTACAAATACGTTTTTGTTGCTAATGACTATGAATTCCGTGATTAAAAAAAAATCTTACGGGGTTTTTGGGGAATTTGGGTAAAGAATGAAAGGCGACAACTTAGGAATCACTGTTTTCCGTTTTAAACAGTTAACACATGAAGGCAACGGTCTATTTTACTTGTTGACATTTATGTAAAGAAAACGAATACATTTATATCGAAGCCTTTTCACGGTCATAAATTGAAACAATATTCGGACATTAAACAATACACAAAACGCTAGCCGACAATATTTGCCCCACGATTAAGCGGCATACTTAAGCACTTTTACACATTTCCAGTAAACAAAAACAACTCCACTTTGTAAAATGAAATAAATCAACTTTTTTAATGTGAGGCCTGGGGCGTGTAACGATCCACCCACGGTTCAATTCAAGACTCAATTATTTAGTTTAACGGCGTGGTGAATGTGAGGACCTCTAGCGTCTAGAGGGGTCACGTGAACAACCCTACTCATGGCAAACATTGAATCTGACCACAAGCGAATGTACGAATCCACTTATCTCGTGCTTAAGAATTTAAATCAATCGATGAATCGTTATACCCCGACTAACACTTTTAGATTGAATGATCATAAAGCAAGTTGTGTTACATCAGGTTTTTTTTCACATGACACAAAGTAATTGAATCCATGGGATATTCACGTCAACATTAAGCAAGTTACAGCATTTTTGGGGCCTTGTTTGAAGACTGGTTAACACGGTGAAAACCACAACCAAAATGTATCGACAATAATTTACAGCCCATTATCAATCAGCTGCTGGGTGAATGCTTCCCCATGCCATATCCATCAAAAGGGGTTATTTGACCATACTTTAACACGCTGGTCATCGTGGGTTGGTGATGGTCGAGTTGATTCAGATGTCACTTGCCACTAATTTTTAACTGTAACTGAGAATTGAACTCAGATTTCTGGGTTCACATTGCAGTTCTCTAACCACTGCGCAACACACCCCCTGCCACAACCAGCCAATGATAATGTAGCTCAAATACCCACTGATGGAAATGAAAGTGGAGCCAGTCTGTACTCAAGAGAGGTTGGGGAAGTCAAGACAGTTTAAAGTTAACCTGTCCTCAAGCATACTTATAGACCCTCTTTAAGCACACACTTCAGTAGACATTTACTATAAACATTCTTTTCATCTTAAATTGTTCTTCCAAGAATATAGAAAGCCCTTTCGGCCCGATCACGACCCTTGACTTTGCCACATATATACACATAACTATATTAAAGAATGCATTTGGAAAAGAAAAATAGCCATGTTTAACTTACATTGCATCGGTCTGAACTTTACCCAGAAAATATAAGAGCTTCAAACTGATCGTTATGACGAACCGTAGAATCAAGCACTTCACGCGGTTCTCAAAGGAGAACCGCGTGTTCACGTTACATTGGTCCGTATTTTAGAAAGGACTCTATCTATATATCGAGGTAAAGTATTGGACAATCCTGCTTTTGGAGGTGGAAACAATCAAGGTGACTGGAAAGGGAGCCGACTGATTCAATGGTCCACCAATGTCCCACCGCCACACAGCAGGGGTTTTATTATAGCCACCCAGAGGGGGCCTCTGATGCACTGCCATAGACATACCCGTGATAAAAATGACCCTCAATGTGCCCAAACAAATCAGAGTTCAGAAGCTAAGCAAATTGCGCCTGGTTACAACTTGAATGGGTGACCACGGGGGCTTGCCAGATGTTGTAGGCACGGCCTGTGGGGAGGCCAGGAGATCGCAGTCTACCAATGGATTGTTGAATCAATCTGTGCAGAGTTTGGGTGTGTTAGCACTCTTACGTATGGGTGTTCTCCGGGTATTCCAGTCTCCTCCCACATACCACAAAGTCACCAAAACAGAATTGGCCATGCATCCCAATGCAGTTCTCTCCTCAAGAGTCTTGACACTGAGGTTTGTACTGGGTTCATATTGTGGCATCATCATAAACACCAGGGGCCACACAACACAGAGTTAGTTGAATGTCATCCAACATAGCTGTATTTTTTATTCACATACGTAATTCTTACACTTTATTTTAATATATATTTAAGATATATTAATTTTCCCCAGTTGCCGTTGCTGATAACAAATGATGCGTTTTTCAGCTCGATTATGCGTGAAAGTTAAGTTCACAAAAAAGCGTTTATTTGAAAACGTGTGACCAGTAGAGATTTCAAAACAATGTTGAATGTGTTGGTTATTATGTATGTACTCGCATTTTGTTAAATTTATTTAGCAGCAATGATATACGCTATTTGCATATGTTAACCATAATTGACTGCTATATGCACAGTTTCAAGACCACATATATTTGATCCACTCATGTCTCACTTGATCATGACCGTAATCATTCCTGAGATGTATAATGATGTTCTTTTCATATTCTAAGACGTATAAGGTGCAGCCCTGCACTTTCTTGCTTACGCCGCTGCTAGCAGAAGGTCCTCCACTATAAGAAGTTCCAGATAACACCTAAGGAGGGAAATTTGGCCTACTCTTCTCTGCTAGCCAGGCATCTTGGAAGTTTTGGGAGCACCCAAACTTAACCCCACTGCATGCGACCTACTGACTGACTAACTGTATCGTTTGCTTAACCCTTATCAAAATAAAACTGCACTTTTCCAATAAGCATATTAAAAAAAACACATACAGTACATGAATACTGTGTCATATACAGTATATTTACACATACATCCACACATACACTCGTACATATTTTACGTATTAACTGAACCTCACTTTGTTAGTTCGCCACGAAAAAAAAACCTAATCAGGAGCAACACGCGATGGCTTGAAACGTGAATACTCATGCGGCCTTTAATTTAACCAGAGAAACATTCTGACTCTGAGCAAATCCATCGCCAGTATCACGTTTCCCCATCGTAGCCATCGGCCAGCTCGAGTGGGCACAACACCCATTGAAGGGAGCAGGCGGAGCGAGTTGAATGAGGTAAAGAGGTCGCGGAAAGAGCTCCGTTTCCAACCCTCTCGCAACGGTGGGGTGAGAGTTTTCGTTTTTGCGATGGATAGCATCTCCTCGGCCGCAGTCAAAACGTTCTCGTTTTGGTGATCAAATGAAGAGGCCGCAGTGTCCCGATTTGTTGTGATGGGTTATTTGTGGCGGCTTGTTTTAATAATTTCATCGAATATCAATGTCGCACATGTAGGATGAGCATTGGTATACACGGGACCATCACGTACGAAATGGTTATATGAGTTGCTTCTGGCCCCTTTAAGTAATTTACACCTGCGATGGCTGTATTATAAAAATAACTTTGGGTCATTTATCTATGATTATATTGACGTTAAGTTGATTTCAATTGTGTGTTATTGTATATAGATCTGCACACTATATTCTGACAATGAGATGTATACTCATATATATGCCATTTAGTGTTTTAAAACGTGGCTGCTCGATAATGCGCAGTGCAACAAGATGCCATTAACCTGCGAGTTGGATGATTTACATTTTTTTATAAGAGGGTATTAATTTAAAATAAACACTGCACAGTTTAACATGGGAAAACACCTGTGCTGAATATACTGTTATTGTGAGCACGCGTCTATGTTAGTGATGTTCAGCCTTTAATATACATGTGCATAGGATTACAATTTTATTAGGAACATATTTTATGTTCCTAATTAGCTCTTGACCCGATAAAAAATATTTTACTGGTTCCTATATCAGCACTTGGTATGTAAATTCATATAAATTTTACCCTATAAACTATTGCCTAGACGAGACACCCTCCAACAATGAAATTTTAAAAATATATATACTGTATTGTTCTGAAAGCCATCTTTTTTTGTATTGATGGTAACACACGGCAGTCAACGGCAATGTAAAAATGCGCGCACTAGGGAGCCCATTGTACAACCACACAGTCACACGATGCGCGATACGACCACACAGTCACACGACACACAAGGGAAGAGGCGATCAGAGTTGAAGAATGAGGGCACCTTGGTACCATCATCAGCTTTCCGATCACCGTGGTGGCTCGATGTCTCTCTCTCTCTCTCTGCGAGGCGTTGAACAGCTATCCAGATGCTCGCTGGCCGTCTCCTGTTAACCTGGGGTTAAGGGTTCATCATAGAGGGGGGCGTCCTGTGGGGAGAATAGAGAGGAGGGTCAGGTGTGAACGTGTGGCAAATCAGGCGTTGACAAAAGGAACAGATTCCTGCAGTGCTGAGAGATGATACCAGCGATCCCACACACTGTCTTATATACTCTTAGAGACAAACGCCGATTATATATATAGGCGATAACCTCGCTGAGGCTCGGGACTTTTTACACAGGCCCCTGGGATTTGAGGCCCCTGTGGTTGGTTAACACAAAACGACTCGAGAGAAAATGTCCCTGAATTTTTCCTAAATAAATCAGCTTTAAGGAAGAAAAAAAACTTCGCTTGGGGTGCATTTGTGCAACTGTCCACCTGAGAAAACAGATATACAAGCAAGCAACTTGCTTGACCCTCATGCAATGGCCAACCATTACATTGACAGAACAATGCGCTCACAACACTTGAAACTCTTCACACTCCACTAACTCCACCTATACCAACTCCACCAAACCAACTCCACTATTCAGACTGTGCCTTCAATTTGACCACATGGAGTGATGAAATCACGTGGCACTTACGCAGAGCAGAATAATGTCCTGTATGTTACAAAACTGCCCACAGAAGGTTTCATAGAACTGCGTGCTTCTTTATGTGTGCATGTATGTTGAACTTCTTTCGCACCGTACGTATCCAATCGTGTTAATCGGAGGTGCGGGGGAAGGACAACAAACGAAAGGCAAAAAGTAACTCGATACATACTTAATGAGATCCCTTCGAGAGACTTCATTTTATCCGTACACTAGGGGGCGAACTTTTTGACATGCGTGGCTCACAGAGAATGCCCATTGTTGCGGGAATTAAGGCAAATAGTCAACATTTGATAGAGCCATTGGTGGGGCAGACCGAGACGATCAACTGGTTTTATTTTATGAAACTGAATTCGAACCTTTATAAACAGTTTGCCTCGGAAGCTAACCCGCCTTTTCCTGAAGACGACTGCTTGTGTTGCGACCGTTATTTTCTTTGAACCTATCTTACGTGACTTTACCGAAAGACCCAAGAATATGAATTCGAACCCTCTGACTCCTGGGCCACCTGGCCCCCCCTGAGCTGTTCCTCGTCTCCCAAGAGAAACATACACAGCAGTAATGGAGCGGTGGTGCGACGGTTAGCATGCCGCAAGATGAACCCAGTAACCCGAGTTTCACTCCTGGCCATGGCCAACAACAGTGGTGAGTGGTATCTGAGTCATGGTTGGGCCAACTCTCTCCATCAAACCGTACTGACTAGCGTGGTGAAGTATGGACACGTCACCTCCGTGACAGACACGGTATTGGAAGGGCCTTCATCCAGCAGTGTATTGAGAAAGACTGTAAATAAATCAATTACATAGATATGTTCCTGCTGAAGTGAAATAAATATCTCATTAAGCATTTCGAAATCCCGAAGACATTTATAAATATAACAATTTGGCATAGCATAAGTGTAAAGTAGTTTTATCCACAGTGCAATGAATGCCAATGCTCCTGTATGTAAAATTGGCTCTGTATTACTGCCCGGTTTCCCTTACTCGTGTTTTATTTATAGTACTTCACTCTGGAGCGTGAGTAAAATAACACACAACACACGCCGTAGTGAATGTTTCATTGCAAACGAACATTTCTCGTAAAAAAAATATAAAATGTGTACGATAACAAAAAAGGTTTGGCCCTCGAATGTCCGTACGTACGTGCTTACCAGTAATGTTCTAATTACACCGCCTGCCAGAGACGTAACTCTTGCACGCATTAAACACACGAAATATTTGCGGCGCGGGTCTTTTTTTATAGCTACCCTGGGGAAAGAGACACTTGAGGAATCTGTTCAATCGCCCTACAAATGCAACCATTCATTCCACCAGCACTGGTAACAACAACAATATATATCACATCTTTTCCTTGTTTTGATACACTAAAGGATAGAATTGGGGGCACATTTAATTGCTCCTTATCTGTGGAAAATCAGGGCTTGGGTATCCTGAGAGTAAATGTTGTCGCTTAATAATTTATCCATGACCACTTCTATGAATGGCAAGTAAAAACATTTCGAAGGATGGGAAATACATTTTTTTTTCAAAATGTTGTGATTACTGTTAAGATTTTTGCTGTAAATGCAACCATCAATGGATTAAAACCAAACTCTAGAATAAAATTATTCTCTGGTTTTAACAAACTAAAATAATCCATAAATTGTCTACGGCGCAGAATTAAATGAAACCACATTTTCAATGAGCACCTCTTACAGGTGTGTTCATTACCATAACGTAAATGTGATACGGTCTGCCGAATCTACTGCTGGATGAACGCCTCCCTGCACCTTGTGTCAGTGACTGGGATTGGTGGACCATACTTCACCATGCTGGTAAATGCAGCTTGTTGAAGGAGGGCCCAGGACCGGTTCAGATATCACTCGCCACTGATGTTTGCCGTGGTCCAGAAGTGAACTTTGGTCACCGGGTTCATAACGCAGTACATTAACCGCACGGTTTCACTGTTCTTCACCATTACATTTTATGATTTTTTTAAACAATTTCAAAATTTATATTTAACCCCATTATAGTCCAGACATCACAACTAACAGTTCTCACCCAACTTCTAAACTAAGGCTCCCAAATCATAATTGGAATATTTATTCCGACTGGAGGAATCCGATGAGCTATGTAAGAAACTCTCTTTCACAGATGTTCAGTAGGGGCGGAATTCCTCCAGCGCGTATACAGATACAATCCACACTTTTCCCATGTATAGCATGATGTCATGTGTGTATATATATTGAACTTCTTAGTTGCCATAATCTATCAGTTTTAGATTTGTATTAAATATGCCCTGTCTAAGTGTTCGGCAGGTGGATAAAATTGTACCTGGTGGAGATAAAATGCCCCTACCGTCTGTAACAAGTCAGCCTAGACTTGTAAAAACACGGGATTACGATTGGTAGATCATGGGGCTTATGCATACGAGAGCACTATGCTGGCAACGCTTAAATCCTGGTTGTGTATGTGGGCAGCCACCGGTTATTGAAGCGGATTCTCAGATGGAGCAACTTTAAAGTCACGATGCTCAACTGTGTGTGCTGATTCCACCAAACACTTGCGCATCAGTTGCAGCAGTGTGCTGCCCACCTTGATCAATACAACCAACTAACCTGGCAGTCAAAAGAGACTGTGCGATGGGTTATTTTGTGTGTGTGTGTGCGCGCGCGTGCGGGAGATGGACAAAGAATTTGTCAGTACTGTGCGAGGCGGGCTCTAGTCAAGCGAGGTTACGCCGAGAGGCTTTCAAACCGTCATGCACGCACTTTTACAAGGCCGACCGGCTGTTTTGTCTAGAAAAGTGGCAGGGCAGTGTTATGCTTTTACTGGTAAAGTGTAAACAAGACACACATCCTCAGCTATATCGGGTGTGGGAAAGTAGGAGGGCTCGAGACTTGAGGAGGGGCGGTCGGGAGATCCTGTGACTCTGTATTTTGATAATTAAGGCTGTTCTGCAGGAGAATATGATCTCGTCTGAAAAATCTACAAAGGCGCGGGGGGCTTCATCGTAAATGCCAGGATGAAAGAGGGTTCAAGTGAGAGACCAGAATTGGTTACACTTGCCGTCAAGAATTCTCCGGAGTCTGATACTGATGAAATTTAAATTTGTGCTACGCTCTCATCGTGGTGCCCTACAAAGATCAGGGTTACGATGATTCTACACTCACACCATGCCAGCCCTGTACTGGCTGGAGATTGGAGATCACCAATAACATTCCAATTTGACGTGCACATTTGTGTATGTGTGTGTGTGTAGCCATTGGTGACCATGCTGAGACTACTAATTCAGCCAATGCACTTGCTGCACTCAAGAATGCAAACAAAAAACATACTCTGATCATATATGGATTGTCTTTTAAAGTGATTGATCCGCACCAGAGACAGCTTTCTTTTGAGCCTCGTATCAAACGGTGTTAGATCAGAGGACGCCAAAAGCCGTACGAAAGAAAGCCGTCTCTGGTATGGACCAATCAGTTTCAAGGACAATGCATATATTATCAATGTATGTTTTTTGTTTGCATTCTGACCACAAGTATTGTGGTTAATGCAGGCATGATTTCTTGTAAAAGGTTTCAGTTTGGTGTTTTAACATCTTAACGCCTGTTTAAAACATTTGCATGGCCAAAATGTGAATCCAGTGTCTTGGCAAGGTTGTTGCACAGCTCAACAATCTAAGACAGTTCCCAAATGTCCGTATGTCAGTCACTTTTTTTCGACGCCACTTTCCTCGTCAATGCGTGGTTGCCATAATAATAATAATAGGCGTGCGTGCACAACAAACAGGCGCACGGCAAGCACCACGGCGGAAGGCTGCCGTGGCACGCAGTCGTGGCATTTTGACCGATAAACTAATAACACCAAGCGAAGCACTCTGTGGTATTGGTCACACTTAAAGGGGGCCAATACATCGTCTGACAGAATACATCTTATGATGAATGTACAGCCCGATGACGATCCACTGCTGGATGAAAGTCTCCCATGCCCAGTTGGGCATGGGGGTCATTTGACCACTTGGTCAGTGCAGATTGGTGACGAGGGGGATCCAGCACCAGCTCAGACGTAATTTTGTCGGCAGGCTCACGGCACAGGACATCACTGCTACCTCTGAAAAAGTTAGTGTTACTTAAATCATATGAGCATATGTTACGTATACCCCAAAAAAACACACAAGGATTCCATACATTTCTCAGGGCACGCACACAGATTTAGAAATTCCATGCTGCAAGCACAACTGCGTTTTGTGTTTAGTTTGTTGTCCTTCCCCCGCACCTTTGACTAGCACAGTCTAAACTAAGCACGGTGCGAAATAAGTTCAACATACATACATACAAACTCCACAGCCATCGTATTGTGCTTCACCCTGCGACGTTCCCCAGCTCCCAGCATCGCCCATCTGCTGTGCGCCATCCCTCCAGCCCCATACTGCTGTCCTCCCCATGTCCTCACCCTTCTCCTCCCTCTGCTACTCCTCCT